AGACACCCAGTTGGTTGGCCTCTTTTATCGGGCTATACCCGAAGCCCTCCGAGGGCATTTCTTCGCAAAGAGCGAAGACCCTGCCACTACATACGATTCCCTTAGTCGCGAAGTAGTGCCTTTTGAAGCCAAGTCTGCGTCTGTGTCCACTTTCTGGCACAAGGACTTGGACAAGGGTAAGCAATGGAAGGGCCGCATTATCTCAGGGCAAGTAAAGACCAAGGACAGCCTTGTCCTAACCTTAGATGAGGGTAGTGTGGATGAGATCCCCTACGACCAGATTGAGTGGGGGTTAGAGGAGGAGGACAGCGGTGTGGGCCAAGGGAGATCTTACGCTGCTGTCGCGGCTGGAGGGAGGCCGCAAGGAGGATGAGGCCAGGGCCAAGGGGGCCGGGCCTCAGGGAGTCGATTTCAGGGCGATCAGGGGGTTGGCGGCAGAGGAGGAAACCGCCAAGCGGGAGGCAGGGGTCAAGGTCCCCCGCAAAACCGTCMTAGGAATAGGTCTCCCTATAGAATAGGAGGATGGCACCCAGGGCYACCTCAGGGTAGGCCTTGGGAATCTTTGGGTCTGGACCAGGCTTTATGGCAACAACGATTGGACCGGGGCCAGTGCATTTTCTGCGGTGACCCGGGCCATATCATCAAATATTGTCCTAAGTATAGAGAGACCCGAACGGCTGCCCAAGGGCCAAAAGGCAGCCGCCGGTAGGGGTAGCAACTGYCCCTACCATTAGGCCATGTGGAAAACATAGCGCTAGCCGGCAGGAGACTCCCACACCACATGTGCCTATGGCAGAGGTTGCAGGCCGGTGTCTAGACAGCTGTCCAGAGACTGCTTGTGTAAGGGTCTCTTTAGACACCTCCCTCACAGGCGTGGCCGAAGAATTGAAGGAGAGGATGCCCGCCTGGGCCAAGATGAAAAAAGAACAGAAAGGACAGCTAATTCTGGTAGATGTAGAGATTTTTAGAGGTAGAGTAGGGGCCCTAGTAGATTCAGGGGCTACCCGCAGCTATATTAGTAGGAAGGCGCTGTAGAAGTTGAASYTGGGGCTTAAAGTCCAAAAGCTAGCAGATCCCATAGTTAGTATCCTCGCAGACAATCATACTATGGTTGTAGAGGAGTATGTAGAGGGAGTCCAGGCGTATTTCCGCCTAGAGAAGGATGGGAAAGTGGAGAAGGTCCTCCACTCCTTGACTCTCCTCGTAGAAGACAACCTCCCATTCGACATTGTTCTGGGAATGGATTGGGGTGAGGCAGCCGGGGCCACACTCCATTTGAAGGAGCACGAGTGTAGGCTCCCTAGTTCTTCAGGCGAGGCTAAGACTGCCCGCCTGCTCCATATGTTAGGCGTAGAGAATTTTTTGGCACATTGTTGCCTGAGCACGCCCTCATTCGCCAGATTGGTGAAGAAGGAGAAATTGGAGGAACAAGTCTTTGTCGCCTATATTAGGCCAGTGACTGAGCCTAAGGAAGAGAAGCCCGTAGACCCGACTATTGCCAAATTGCTGGAAGAGTTTAAGGATTTAACTAAGCCGCCGACAGGCAGGGTGCCGCGGCTCATCCAGCACCGTATTGAGATAGAGCCTGGCAGTAGAACTCCTAAGGGTGCTGTACATAGGATGTCCCCGCGGGAGTTAGAGGAGCTACGGAAGCAATTGGACGAGCTCCTCGAAAAGGGTTGGATTAGGCCCAGTTCGTCTCCTTTTGGAGCCCCTGTTCTCTTTGTCCCTAAGAAAGAGGGAGAGCTGAGGATGTGTATAGACTATAGGGGTCTGAATGCT